CACACACACACACACACACACACACACACACACACACACACACACACACACACACACACACACACACACACACACACACACACACACACACACACACACCAGGTACCACGTGGTGGGCGTGTATGACGGGCGCGACCTGGTGGTGTATGTGAACGGCGTGGAGCAAGGCCGAACAACCATTGGCGCCGTGGTCGCATACACGGGGCCCGAAGCGATGGTGATTGGCTCCAACAAGCACACCAACCACGGCAGCAAGGGCAGCGTCCACGCCATCCTCGATGAGGTCAGTGAGTGTCTGTGTTGTGTGTGTGTGTGTTGTGTGTGTTGTGTGTTGTGTTGTGTTGTGTTATGTGTACGTGGTTTCCGTGCCTCACACACTTTCTCCCCTTCTTATCTACATCCCTTTCTTCTTAACACCCTCCCCCTTCTCTCCCGCCTTCTTCTTCACTTTACCTCTTCTTTACCACCAGGTGGCCGTGTGGAACCGTGTGCTCGACGGTGCTGAAGTTGCGGCGAGCGTCTTTGTGCCCATCACAGATCGCCAGCAAACCCCCACTAACGACAACAACGATGACGGCAGCAGCAGCAACAACAACAACAACAACAACAACAACAAGTTGGTCGCGTACATCAACTTTGAGCAGCCGGAGCAGTGGCTTGACCTGTCGCCCATGTGGACGGAGACAGCGAGTGGCGCCGAGCTGTTGCGGTCACAGCATGTGCCAGACGTTGGCCCGCTGTCCCTCAACGCGAGCACAGCAAACTTGGTGCTGGTGCCGTCCGTGGACCAGTCGCAGCACGCTGCCTTTTTCTACGACGAGGACCTGGACATGGAGTTTTTTCCGCGTGTGCCCGACGGCGAGTACGTTGCATTTGTGTCCACGGCCTCGCTGCAGTGCGAGACAGACGCGGGCTGCCTTTGCAACACGTCCCTGCTGGTCAACGCGGCCAGCGTGTGGGACAACACCGTCACGGTGCAGCTGCGAGCGGACAACTACCACGTGTGCCACTCGTTCACGGGCGAGCCAGACACCTTCTACATGCAGCCTGGCCCGCGTGTCTCTGCTGTGGACCTCGATCCTTGCTTTGGTGTCACCTGCGGCAGCCACGGTGCCTGCAGGCAAGGCGCGTGCGTGTGCACCGACGGTTACACGGGCGACCTGTGCCACCTGCCACCTCCCGTCTTCAGCAACAACGGCACGACGCCACAACAACCCGCCCGCTCCTGCGCGTAAGTGAAACGGTGTCATGTGATGCATACTGCGTGCATCTGGTGGTGGTTGTCGTGGTGGTAGTAGTAGTCGTAGAAGTAGTGATGGGATGATGTATTTTCCCGTCACACACACACACACACACACTCTCTCTCTCTCTCTCATATTTACTCGCAAATTTACCAACATACGCTCACACTCACTCATTCACTTACACTCGCTCATTCACTCACTGCAGGGACGTGGCTGATTTGCCAAAGGCAGCAGGCCTGTACTTTGTGAGCGACGATCCAAACGCGCCGGTTGCGGGCGCCGCTTCGCCTGCCCTGTGCTTGCAGGCACCAAACGGTGTGGACGCCTACCGCGTGGCATCCGTGATTGCGTCGCCAACAGGCACAACAATGGCTGCGCTCACTCGCGCTGGCGGCCTGTCTGCGGTAAACGAACTCAGTACATCTGCGACGTTTGCGCAGCCGCTTTCCTCCGCCGCATTTGATCGCACGGCGGTGGCCTGCCTTGACGCCGACGAGCGTGTGGTTGAGGCGACGCTGACCCCCGTGCACGCAAGCACGTTTTCCCGCTTTGTGTCGGGGGCGTGGTCGTACCTGTCGCAGGAGACGGCGCAGAACGGCACGATTGTGACCTTCACGGGCGGCGAGGACAGTGCGCCCAAGACGGTCACCATTGAGACGGCGCAAGACACCCAATACACGTGGAGTGACGCTGGTTTCGTCTGCGCCGGCCTGCCCGTCACCAGGGCCTGGCGCCTGGCCATCCTTGTTGCGTGATGCACAGTTGCTGTGTGTTGTTTGTGTGTGAGTGTGTGTGTGTTGTGTTTTATTTGTGTGTGTGTGTGTTGTTCGTGTGTGTGTGTGTGTGTTAATTGTGTGTGTACGTGTGTATGTGTGTGAGCGTGTGTCTTCAAAGCGTTTTCTCAATGTTTGCAACTGAATGCGCTGATGTCTCTGCTCTGCGATCAATGAACACTCCTTTCTTCACGACGACGACAACAACAACAACAACAACAACAACACCACCACCAACAACAACAACAACGACAACGACAACAACAACAACAACACCACCAACAACAACAGCACCACCATCACCACCACCACCAACAACAACAACAACAACAACAACAACAACAACAACAACAACAACAACAACAACAACAACAACAACAACAACAACAACAACAACAACAACAACAACAACTACTACTACTACTACTACTACTACTACTACTACTACTACTACTACTACTACTACTACTACTACTACTACGACTACTACAACTTTGCAATTTGCAGGCTCTTTGCACGTGCACAATTTGCAAAGACACTCCTGCAAAGACTGATGGGTGATGAGCGTGCATGTGAGTGCTCAAGGTCAAGGACCACCGCAGCAGCGACGACTGCCCCTGATGCTGGTCCTTGTTGTTGGTGTCGTAATCAGTGCTTTGATGATCCAGCCGCATGCTGGGGTTTGTGCGCAAGCGCCACCCCAAGCACCAGCGCTGAAGCGCCCGTCCATCACGCGTGACAGCCAAGGTGCCATGCACGTGAACACAAGCGACCCAATGCGCGAGCCTGTGTATGTCAACGGGGTCGATGTGTACGGCACCTTGAGCGAGCAGCATCGCGTGATTGCCACTCAGCAGGAGCTCATTGATCGCCAAGCAAGCCTGAATCAAGTGCTGCGAAGTACAGTTTCGGCACAGCAGGCTGCAATGAATGCGCTTGAGGCGCAGGTATGCTGGCTGAGGCGCCCGTTGGCCAGCACCACCACCATCGCCGGCTTGGGAACAGGGTATGAAAAGTATTTCGGCGCGGTCCTTGCCAACAACGGTCTCATCTACGGCATCCCCCACACCGCCACCTCCATTCTCGTCGTGGACCCAAGCACCAACAGCGCCAGCACGACCCTGTTTCCTCAGCGGTTTCCAGAACCGAGAAAATGGGCGGATGGCGTGCTCGCAAACACCGGTCTCATCTACGGCATCCCGTCGCAGTCCAGCGTCGTGCTTATCATCGATCCAGCCATCAACACAGCCGACACCACCAGCATCATGGGCCTTGGCTCTGAGCCAGACAAGTGGCACGGCGGTGTTCTGGCCCACAACGGCAAAATCTATGCCGTCCCATATCATTCGCACGCCGTTTTGATCATTGATCCCGACACGAACACGGCAGACATCACCAGCATCAAGTCACTGTTTGGTATGTACAAGTGGTCGGGCGGCGTGCTTGCAGGCAACGGCCTCATCTACTGCGTTCCCTTCAATGCCCAGCGCGTGCTGATCATCAATCCAGACACCAATACCGCCGACAAGACCACCATACCTGACTTGGAACCCCGCCTGCAGTTCTCTGGTGCTGTCCTGGCTAACAACGGCCTCATCTATGGTATTCCCCTCCTCGCCGATGACGTGCTCATGATCGACCCCGCAACCAACGCTGTTGACACAATCAGCATCACGGGCCTCGTCCCTGCCACCGCAAAGTGGTATGGCGGCGTGCTGGCTCCGAACGGTCAGATTGTCGGCTTTCCCAACCTCGCAGAGACCATCCTCATCATCGACCCCGCCACCAACAGCGCCACCACTAACACTAGCTTCCCCCTCTTCAACCCAAGCCTCACAAAGTGGCGCGGTGGTGCTGTTGCCCCCAGTGGCCTCATCTATGGCATGCCTTATCTCGAGCAGTCTGTCCTCATTATTGACCTGGGTTGCTAAGGGTGGAAGTCCGTGTGCGTGCATGTGTAGAAACTTGCGGATGCATAGCGCTTGTGTGCAGAGTCTGAATGTGTGCGTGGTCTGTGAATGTGTGCGTAGCCTGTGTATGTGCGTAGCTTTTGGGTGGGTGTTTCTTTGGAGTGGGTGTTTCTTTGGAATGCGAATCTAGTGTACGAGCATCCGCACGTTGTCCTTGTCG